TATGGGTTCTTTTTCTTAGTCTTTCACAGTTAGTGGTCCTATGCAGTATTTCTCCTTTTGTGACTGACTAATTTCACTCAACATAATATCCTCAAGGTTCATCCATGTTATGTGGTGGCTTGCAGCTTCCTTGTTATTCTTCAAGGTAGCATAATATTCCATTGTGTGTATGTACCATAGTTTGTTTATCCATTCTTTAGTTGATGGGCACTTTGGTTGTCTCCATCTTTTTGCTATTGTAAATAGTGCTGCTATAGGATGATGTTTTTATTGGTTCAATTGTGAGGATTTTTGTTTTCTTTATATTGAGGTACAATCCATACTGAAGGTTACAGTATTTGATGATCATCAGTAGTTAGAATTTAAAGTACTTTTAAGTTATTAATTCAACATTTTTAAAAGATAAAATTTCATAAATATTTCACTTTGTAAACTTATGCATTACTTAACACTAGTAATGTGGTTCTGTCGCAAATTAGCCCACTGCCATCAAGTTGATTCCAACTCAGAGAGTTGGGTCTCAAAGGCTGTAAATCTTTAGAAAAATCTTTAGAAAAAAGCAGACTGCTACATCTTTGTCCAACAGAGGAGCTAGTGAGTTCAAATCAACCTTTTGGAGGGAAGCTGACAGATTAACAACTGATCCACCAGTGCTCCACAGTAACATGGTTGTTACTGTTAAGTGCTGTCAAGTTAGTTTTGACTCATAGCGACCCTGTCTAGGGTTTCCAATGAGCAGCTAGATTTGAACTGCCAACCTCATGGTTCGCAGTCCAGTGCTGATCCTACAGTGCCAAACCACAAGTCCCAGTAACATGGTGCTGTTGTAAAGTGCCATCAAGTCAGTTCGACCCATAGCGACCCAGTATACGGTTTCTGAGGAGCCGCTGGTGAGCTTGAACCACCGACCTTGCAGTCTTTCAAACCGTTAGTATATATAAATAGCCCCACCAAAAGGGCTCATCCTAATCAGAATGTAATTTGCTGACGAACAGTGATCATACATTACTAGACTTGATTCTCAAAACACTTAGCACAATGCCTGGCATGAGTTGATTTCAACAAGTACCTACTGATTGAATAAGGTGCTCGAATGCTCTCAGCAGAAAACCATGGCCTGTAAGCACACCTCTCTGATGTTCAAAACCCTTTACTCCATCCAAGGAGGTCATCATATCAGATAAAGCAAAAGTTAGGACACAGAATATACCTAAATATATAGGACTAGATATTAAAATAAAATTCACTAAAATGAGATTCCTACCTGCATGATGAACTTTTTGAGGAGGATGTTCTTTTGAAACCTATCCTGTTTTTAGATAATTTCTTGATTTTAACTTAGTGAGATATATTTAAAATCAAGATAAGAACAAAAGAGATGATAAATGAACTTCCCGTCTAGATGATGCTATTGTATACAGCCTTCAAACTCTAGGTTGAGTTATTAACAATACCTCTCAAACTCTTGCCTTTTAGAATATAATGTACCAAAAAGCACCTGCAGAAATACAAATGCTGATTGAGGTAAGAACCCAACTCCTAATTACAGTTTCTTTTGGTTAAACAGCAATGTTAAATTGGTTCAAGCTGAAAAAAAATTGGTAAAGTTCATAAAACTTTTATTATAATGACTGCCATTTATAATACTGTTTAAATAAATACTTTTATCACCAAATAAAAGAAAATGATTAGGTTAAACAGGATTTCATTGTGATCCTGAATAATCAAGAACTATAGATGGAAATAAATTTAGAGTTCTATGATCAACATTAGAGAAAACTACACAATCAGTGATCCAAGGATATAGCATGCATAGTACCCAAACTGTCATGACAGACTTTCCTAAAAGGCACTGTGTGCCATCGTCTCACTAGCTGTCCAGTTGCACGGTATGCCTAGAGGCTCAGAATCAGGGGCCTCATCATAAACAGAAGTTATGATAATGAGGATGATGATGGTGGTGGCAGTCTGCAGGAAGAGCACACTGAGATTCACTGTGGCCGCCAAACAGAAACCACAGAGCTATGAAGAACATACTCCCCACTGTACACACACACACACACACACACACACACATACACACACTCTTCTAAAAAGGCAACTCTTATGGCACCCAAGAAAAAGTGTTATGAAATATGTGCTCTGGGAATGAAGGAGCCAGGAAGTCCATGGGTCTACAAACCTGTGAGTGTTGAGAATCTGTCAGGCCCCAGATCATCTTTGTCTTTTTCTTGTTTTTCTTTCTTTCTAAATGGTATAGGAGCTGGAAATTAAATAAAGTCAGTAGTGTGACATATAACATACTGCACTACTTGGAAGACAGCAGTCATTTTGGAGTTACTGGTGTGCCAACCTTTCTAAGTGAAAGGAGGTTGAAAAGTTTAAAATCTAAGAAATAGGGAGCATCAATTGATAATAGTTCTTAACATAGCACTGAAGGTTCTTAAATTAGTTTTCAGAATCTGTTTTGGTGTCAAGAATGTTTTACTGGGAATCAACTGGAAATAAATCAAAACCATTGCCTCTTAACTTCTGCTCAAAAACAACACATTCAGAACTCCGAGCATCATTCTCTCATCAAGTGGGCTTGAGTATGGCGTGAAAGCAGCTCTCGTTAGCTCCTCAGTGCCACAATGCTGAGAAGAGGCCTTTGGAAGAAGTCCCTAGCTTTAATCCTATATGATTTCTCCCCTCAAGAAGAGATGCTTTTGCCAACTCAAATCTCAATATCCACGGGTAGGATGCCAGGTTATTCACAAAATAAAAAGAAATAATTATAAACAATTGCCTTCTAACATAAATACTAATATTAAGGGAATAAATATTATCTGAGTCCTGATGTGGCGCTACAGGATAAGCACTGGACTGATTTGGCAGTTCAAACCCACCAGCCACTCTTGGAAATGCTATACAGAGTTGCTATGAGTCAGAACCGACTTGACGGCACACAACAACAGACATACTCATTGAACATAGATATAAAAAGCTTAATTTTATTCCAGGAATGTAAAGGATGACTTTTCAATGTTTAATTATAAATAACATCCCTTTTTCCTGTAGTAATTAATTAATAGTAATGCATATTATATGATATTTAAATAACCATGACCTGGCATGATTTCCATTATTGAAATCACTACCACTTCCTGCAAAGAACAAGAACTGTCGCTTCTAAAGCTCTGCCTTAGCATCCACTCTGAGAGAATAACTAGAAATTTAGGCCCAGCAAGCCTCACAGAGAAACTGAAGTATTAGGTCTCTGAAAGAGATTTTTGAGGCATTGCTTTTTGTTACTAACACAGCATTTTAATACTTTTATGAAATTACCTTTAGGCATAGCTGAAACAAAACGTTTTCTCCACCATGGTCTATTCCTGTCTGATTTCTCATCATCACTATCTTTGCGTTCTTCAGTCTGTAACAAAAAGATGCTTCAGTTGGAGTTGGGCAGAATAATAAATTAGTATGAATAAGATTTTAGTAAGTCTGGGAAAAACAAAAACCACTCAATTGCCTTAAATTAATAGGTGCTTTTATTCACCAAAGAGGTATGTATATTCTTTAAAACAATCAGTCATATGAGATCAAATGGGCAGCAACTGCCCAGGGATAAAGCTCTGAAGGCAGGAAAGGAACGGAAAAAAGGACAAATGAAAATGGGTAGCGCAGGGAAAATGTGGGAAGACTGTAGTTATATTGTGGAATTATCACAAAACGTGTATGAGTTGTTGAAAATCCCATTATGCTCTGCAACCTTTCACCCAAATCACAAGTTTAAAAAAAAAAAAAAAGTTCCTACTGCTATGTAAGTAACTTCTGAAGCATGGCAAAGTACCTTTTAAGCATCAGACTGTGTGAACTCCTTGAGGGCAAGCATTACCTCAATATTCTTAGTAAACCCAATTGCTAAATACAAAGCCTGGCACACAATAGACACTCGATTCATACATATTGAATATGATTAAATTAATTCAAATAAACTTAAAGTAATAGTAGAGGATGACAGTAATATCAAAAATGAATGAGAATGTGTACTATGTGCCAAACACTAAGAGGAAGCATATGTATTATCTCATTTAATCCTCACAGCAGCCTTCAAAGACAGGCACTACCACAAAGACCTTTCTATCAATGCAAAGTATCAAGCTAAAAAGATTATCTCCGTATCTTCCCCAAGTGTGACTTCAGTTTAGATGGGACCAACTCCCAAATTCAAGTTCTGATCATCAATCATATTATCAAGACTACATGTCAAAGGGCCTGGACTATAATTTCCTTAACTGATATATTATGTGACCTTTTATTTTTTCATCTACAAAATTGGGAAAGCCCAAGTAGAAAAACAAAGGCATATACAAGCCCATTCTCCCTAGTTTTGCCCACTGAGAGGTTGAGAGTAGCAACATGTCTTCAGCAATGAGCATATTTAGAACTCAAACTTAAGAGTTCTAAAAACCATTTTCCACTAAAAGAACAAAGATCCCTTGGAGAAATGACTGTGTACAGGGCTAGGGGTTGGTACATCTTGGTGGTGGTGGTGACTGTATGCTGTCAAATCGATTCCGACTCACAGTGACTCTGTATAAGGTTTCCAAAGTTGTAAATCTTTATGGGAGCAGAACACCTCATCTTTCTCCCAAGGAGTGACTGGTAGATTCAAACTGCTAATCTTGTGGTCAGCAACCCAGCTTGTAATCCACTATACTACCACGTCTCCTTGGTACGTCTTCAGGTAGATAAAGTACAAGATAGGCTTGGACCATCTTATGCCGAAAAGCAACAAATATTCAATGATGGGATTATGTCAAAAGAACCCAGGAATCACCTTAAAGGGACTCTCAATGGCCAAATCAGGGACAAGAGACCTTCAAAGTAAAAGACAGTTGTTGTTAAGTGCCGTTGAGTTGAATCCAATTCGTACTGATCCTGTACAGGGTTCCCAAGGAATAACGGGGTGGGTTTGAACTGCCAACTTTGTGTTTAGCAGTCCAATATTTATCCTACACTGCCATACCAGGACTCCATGTTAAAGATAGCAGTTAACAAACCCATTGACTAAAATAGAAATTATGAGATCATAGATATAAATTAACAAGTAGATAAAAATAAAGTGTGAAGAATAGTATATGTACATGATTTCAAAGTACCTCGTCACAAAACATTTTTTTATTAATTAAAAGGGGAAGAGAGAATTTTATAGTGGTAAAGACTGGCAAAAAACACCTTCATCTAGTGATTTAAATGCACAGCATCAGTAATAAAATAATTAAAATTGCATGCTGATAGACTACAATGAAAAAATGCAGCATTAATTTAGTGATATTCCTGCCAGAGTTGAATGACTTAAAACCACTAACATTTATCATGAGAAAACATTAAATTCACATTAAGAAACATTTTACAAAGTAAGTATCCTGTCATTTTCAGAATGTCAATGTAACGAACATCATGGAAAAACTGTTCTAGAGTGAACGATACTACAGAGACATCACAATACAACACGTACTTCTGACTGGGATCTTTTCACTATAAAAAATGGTACAAGGATAAATGAGGAAATATGACTGGAGTACAAACATTAGTTGGTAGTAATGTATCGATGCTAGTTTCTTGATTTTGGCAGCTGTAAGAGTGTTCAGAGATGATGGAACATCAGGATGGTAACTTACTCTCAAAGGGCTCAGGGAAAAAGTTCTTCGTATTTACAGTTCTTCCAACTTTTTTTTTCCAATTTTGTGATTGTTTTAAAATAAACATTAATAGCACATCTAACAACATCTTAGAGGACTGTGAGATTTAAATAAAATTAAATCTAAAGCTATTTGCAGAAAAGTATCACAAAATGTAAAATACTAATACTATAAAACCAAAGTTGCATAAGTTTCCTATGGGTTGTGATCATGGGCATATTAGATTAACAAATCATCTTTAGTCATGACAACCAATTATCTTTAATCCTAGATTTGTATATTTCACTAAAATTGCAGATATCAAGAGAACTAAGCAAATTTTAAAATACTAATGCTGACCACACAATTAGAAATAATTCTATATGGACTGGCTACCATACCTCTCCTCTTGATGAGTCCTTACTCGGGGATGAAGATGATGAGTGAGGTGCAGCCACCAAAGAAGTAGCACCAATGACTGCAGCTGGAGGGAGTTCTCTCTCTTCATTCCCTGGACGTCGGTTCCAACTGGGGTCACTCATGGGTCGCCGGACAGAAGATACTATATCAGAGCTCCTGCTGCGAACTAATCTCTCAGGGTAAGAATGCCTTAGCTTGAATGCCTCCATTTCAGCTGGAGTTAAAACATGTGAACCAAAGTTTGGCAACCTGGCCTCATTTCCTCCAACAGCTCCTTCCAGGATTGGGGGATCCGGTGGTGGATGTGATGGTCTAGCATAGTGAACTTTTGGCCTTACCACAGCAGAAGCCCCTTGAACACAGAAAAAGAATTTTGCAGCAGAGACAAAAATGATCCAACAAAAGCGTTCACACAGGGTATTAGTTTCTTTCTTCTGTTTATGCCGAAGACAAGAGTCAAAAGTATGGCTAGTTTACCTTCATGTGAAGACAGTGGATCAAACATGGCAAGCAGAGACTCTGACTGAGAAGGCGGTGAGGTCAGGTGATGGATGCCTGAAATAGAATATCAAACTGTGACACTAAATCAGAATTTATGGGGTTCAAGCATTTCTTTGACAGCTTTATTTTATTGCTCAATTAGAACGGAACCTCAGAAGTATACAGGCAGGAGTGGCGGGAGGCAAGAGAGATTTAATAGATATAAAATTCTGATTATCTCAAATTTATTTTGTTTGTAATCTATATGCATGGATATTTTCAAAAAAATGAAAATAATTGCATTTCAGTAGTCTAGATAAGCATATGATTATTACTTTTAACGGAGTACTGGTGTGGCACTGAAGAATAATCACTGGACAGATAACCACAAGATTGGCAGTTCAAACCCATGTGCCATTTCTTGGAAATGCTACACAGGGTCATGATCAGTCAGAACTGACTCCATGGCACTTAACAATAACATTATTTTTACTGGTCAAATAGTGCAAAAAGCAGTCAGAAGACCGAAGCCAGAAAAACCTCCAGTAAAAACTTCTCTTGAGCCTCATATTTCCCAGTTAAAAAAACAGAAACAAAAAAGGACAATATTATTTGCAGAGGAGTATGAGTAAAAAGTGTAAAATTTGGAATTCTAATATTGTTCTCACAAAACTAATCAATAATTTAAAAGACTATGTTGTTGTTTTGTTAGGTGCCATCCAACTCACAGCTATCCTATGCACAAGAAGGAAACACTGACCCTGCTGCAGTGAAATTGCTACATTTGAGCTCACTGGTGTCGCTACTGTGTCAATCCATCTTGTTGGGGGTCTTCTTCTTTTTCACTGACCCTCCATTTTACCAAGCAAGATGTTCTTCTCCAGGGGCCAGTCCCTCCTGATAATATATCCAAAGTATGAGAGATGAAGTTTCACCAATCTGGATTCTAAGGAGCATTCTGGCTGCTCTTCTTCCAAGATATATTTGTTTGCTCTTTCATGGTATTTTTAATATTCTTCTCAAACATAATAATTCAAATATATCAATCCTTTTGTCTTCCTTATTCGTTGTCCAACTTTCACATGCATATGAGATGATTGAAAATATCATGGCGTAGAAACAAGTGTAAATTGCTACAATTTGATGAACTTGACCTGTATTTAGGGATGTAGTAGCTCAAAATACCAACTGAGAGGGAAGGAGTCTTCACATCAGGTATCAATCCTATCCCCTCTATATACAGGGTTAGTAGGGAAGGGCAACTTAAACATTGACTACTTAAAATGGGGGTGCTATACAGGTATGAAGTGACTGGCTTAAACATTTTCATGAGGGAGTTGAGTTTCAGAGTACACGGGAGAAGGTAGAATTCCCCACTGAATAGTTTTCATCTTGTCTAGCCAGGTCTGGTGAAAGGAGATAGGGATAAACTTCTTATATTTCAATAGTGAATAATTGCTATCATGACTAATTGCGACTGTCACAACTGTAAAGGTAGAAGTTTTATAACAAAAAGGAGGGAATAATCTATAGTCCAGGAACAGCGGACCCTAGGACCATCAAGGGAGAAGAGCACAAGCAGAATGTGGGACCCTATCCAGAGAAGCAGCAACACCAGAGATGGAGACAGAGATGATAACATAAAGAAATAGAGCAGCTGAGGACTCTAGACTCATGGAAAGAGAAATGCTGTGTGCTGGCAGGCTTGCAGAATGTGCCCTTTGGTTGTTTAAATGATTATATATTCCTGAGTGTTTCTGTGTACATCCCTCCCTCAAAAAAACAACAGGGAATAGAGGCAAATACTGTTGAATGATGAAGCACAGAGGAGATTGTAACCATTGCAATGAAACGATGAGTGTAACACCGATGTTCTCCCATGTAAACTAGCACTCAATTTATAATAAAAACATATCATGGTTTGAGTCAAGTACATCTTGGGTCAAACAAAGTTTGATATCTTTGTTCTATAACAATTTAAAAAGGTCTTTTGCAGCAGATTTGCCTAATGCAATATGCCATTTGATTTCTTAACTACTGCTTCCATGAACGTTGATGTGGATCCAAGCAAAATGAAGTCTTCGACAACTTAAATCTTTTTTCCATTTATCATAATGTTATTTACTGGTCCAGCTGTTAGAATTTTTGTTTTCTTGCACTGAGGTGCAATCCATACTATAGTATGTGATCATCATTGGTTGTATCCTATGTGTACTGCCGGCTGTTAATGAGTCTTTCTCTGCAATCCTGATATTACCATCTTCTTCATATAATCCAGCTTCTCAGATTATTTGTTCAGCATACAGACTGAATAATTATGGTGAAAGGATACAACTCTGGTGCACACTTTTCCTGGTTTTAAACCATTCAGTATCCCTTTTTCTTTATTCTCTTATTCTTTCCAAAGACTGATTTTCTTGGTTGATGTATAGGTCACTCATGAGCACAATTTAATGTTCTAAAAGACGATTCTTTTAGCAATGTGATTCAGAGTTCTGTCATGATCCACACAGTCAAAAGCCTTTGCATAGTCGATAAAAAGCACATGTAAACATCTTTCAGATATTCTATGCCTTACATCAAGATCCATCTGACATCAGCAATATCCCTAGTTCCATGTCCTCTTCTGAATCTGGCTTGGATTTCTGACATTTCCTGTCGATGTACTGTTGCAGTCATTTTAAAATTACTGTCAGAAAAATTTTACTTGCATGTAATATTAATGATATTGTTTGATGATTTTTACATTCCAATGGGTCACCTTTCACTGAAAGGGACAGAAATAATAGATCTCTTCCAATCACAATTGGGCCACGTAGCTGCCTTCCAAATTTCTTGGCATAGATGGGTGAGTACCTCCCAATCTATCAGCATCAGTTTGCTGAAAGATTTCATTCGTATTCCATCAATTGCTTGAGGCTTCATTTTCACCAATGCCTTCTATAGAGCTTGGACTTTTTGGACTTCAGTATCATCAGTTCTTGATCATATGCTACCTCTTGAAATGGTTGAACATTGACCAATTCTTTTGGGCACAGTAACTCTGTATACTCCCTTCATCTTCTTTTGATGCATTCTACCTCATTCAATATTTTGCCCATAGAATCCTCTAATATTTCAAATCAAAGCTTGAATTTTGCACCAAATTTCAAACATTTATGCCTTTAAATACTGCCACATTATGCCCCAGTTGCTGAATCAATTGATATTATCACTAACAATGTGTAAGTGTTGTTTCTCCCCTTATCAGATAATTTTTTTAAAAAAGTCATTCTTATTTGCCTTCTTACCATGAGTTACTTCATCCATGTCTGGACTAGTGACAGAATCTTTACCACCAAAGTCAGAGCTGCACTCAGATCTCAGGTCTTCAATCTTATTGGGAATATCCTCAGAGGTTGCACTTATGCCTTTAAAAAAAATAGTAAGAGATAAACAGCAAGAACAACAACCTACCCCGCCCCCGCCACAAAAAAAAAACCCACGCACACAAATGTATAAGAAGTTTAGAAAATTTTAAACAGTCTTAAATTTTGGTTGTCACCCTTGTATACTGGTGAGCTATGTATGTCTTTTATCCTACTATTGCTTAAACATACTTGATTGGACAACATAATCAGAATTACCATGGGGTAACTAAACATAGTAGCAGAGACTACAAGAAAGAGAAAGAGCTGTAGAGGAACATACATAGACTGTTTGCCAATTACTTCAAAGGCTCTATAAAGTCAATTACAGTGTCACAAATTTAAGGTCCTACAGAAATAATTTCACTTCCTGGAAATTACTCAACTCTTAAAACCTATTTCTTCTATAATAGCTGCATAAATGGAGAGGCAGCACACCTCAAAGCCTTATTCCTTAAAACAAGACAGACATACCCGACACAACACTGAGGCCTGGTGTGCTGGGGCGGGAACTGACCTCCCTGACATCTGTATCATCAGATGTGCTACCCAGTCCAGAACAGCTCTCCAGTTCTTGTAGACGCTCCTCCTGCTTTAGGTCTGGGGCCTCTACATAGATGATATGAGTTATCACATAAGTGGTTCTGTTAGCATGTGACAGTTTCAACTTTTGTGATCCAGATGACTGAAAGCCACCAGGGTAAGAATAAAATCAGTGTAAATAGATTTCTAAATCTCAGTCAGCTGCAAAGTTAGTTAGATTAAGTGGTATCAGAGTCAAGACTGTGATTTATATCCCAATATAGGCCAGTTTATTGTGCACACATGAATATTCTGTTTCCAGAGCACTAATCTCATAAAGTATGCTATTGTTCAAACTGAACACTGGTAAGAGAGTACAGAAATAGCTTGCCATTTGATCAACCACTCCCTAAAACAGTAACTCCCATGTGTGCTCCATAGATGGTGAGCTAGTGCTACTGTCCCTTTATATAAAAATTATTAGCATTTGGTGGACTGCTTTAACATTATTATAAAGTACAGAAAAGGCTCATGAATTATTTTTGAGCCAAGGAAACCAGATAAAACATAATACAGATATATAACTAATTATATTTGCATTCTAGTAATTAACATTTATTTGAAGACTAAATATCTTCAAAAATCAGGGGAAAAAAACAAGTAAAAATATATAAGAAAAACACAAAAAATTTCAAATACATTTACAATAACTCTGCACAAAATGATTCTCAGCGCTCCAAAGTCTCAATTTCAAAGAATTATAAAAATATTAAGTATCTTTAAAAAAGTTAAGTTCTCTCCTGGAATAAACCTAAACATCCTTCCTGGGCATCCAACCACTTATGGTTTGAGCTGTGTTGCGATTCTATACTGTGATGAGTTAATGGGAGACACTGAACTCAATATCCCCACATAGAACCTTGATGAGTTACTAACAATTGCTTCCAAAATAACGAAGCACAGAGTCAGAAAGCACCTGCCAACTTAGCCAAGGCCATCCAATGCTATGTTTTTTCTGAATGGACAGAAAATACCCTAATTTCTCATCTGAAATTCTCAACAAGCGTTTGCCTCATACTTGTCAACAGAAATTAGGATACCTTACATTTAAAACTTCTGTGCAAATGAAAAAGAAAACATTGATGACATACTAACCTGAGTCACTTGGTAATACCTCTACACTCCAAGCTTCGCTGGTTGTCTCTGATATGGTAGAACCAGTGCAGGGGTCAAGAAGCACTGACCCTGAACCTGGTAGGCACAGCAAACTGCCTAACATGTTCTCTGCTGCTGCACCTGTATAACCAGTGGGGAGCAAAGGGTTAACAAAAGATCCTCATGGAAAGAGCAACAATGGAGAGAGGAGGATAATTAATTAATTAATTAATAGAACAATGGAGAGAGGACAAACAGTAAGCTAATAAAATCTTCTCTTTATTCTACCCACAAAACAGAAGCCATGGTAAGAGTAGTGTCAATCAGTAACACCACTAAACACACAAATTTCCAACTCTATTCACAATGGTACAACCTCCTTTTCATCCGTTTCTTCCTATTCACTTTTGACTCTCCATAGAGAAAACACACATTATTAACTTACAACTAGTTTCACAGGAAAGCTTATTTTGTGTCCCTATCATCTTTCTAAAAGGTACAGTCCTATAAGGATTAAGGAACAGACTCGATGGCACTTAAGAGGATTCTGGTCAGGTAACACAGGGGTTAAAAGCACTTGGCTGCTAACTGAAAGGTCAGTAGTTCAAACTCAACAGCATTTCTCTGCTTCCATAAAGATTTACAGCTTTGGAAACCCTATGGGGCAGGTCTACTCTTTCCTTTTGGATCTGTATGAGTTAGAATAGACTTGATAGCAACAGGATTTTGACAAAAATTAAAATATCTAGAGAAATTTAACCTCAGAAAGCTATACTGGCCAAATATGGTATATCCCCAGCACATTAGCCACATACTCAGAGCAATAAAATATATTTGCAGTAAAATACATGCCTCCTCTAGAGGATTCATTCATCTGCAAATACAATTTATTTTTCAAATACAGCTCTCCTGCCAGGAAAAATAATACTTTGACATCTGGAAAAAAGTAATGCAAACCAATTAAGAAATCCATTTACACCACTTAAAAACACAAACAGAAAGATTAAACATCATTGCACATCCACATAAAAATACTCAAGTTCAGACATCTCTGATATTTCCAAATGGGCTTACTAAAAGGACAATTCTGCTTCAATGCCTGGAAAGTTTTAGAAAAAAACTACTGGTACACATTATCTTTTAAAGAACTATCATGAACTAATTGCAATGAAAAGTCTAGAATTTGCCTAAAAATAACAGGGGGAGGGGACGGGAGGGCAGTAGTGGATGTGAATAAAATGGCCATGTGTGGCTCTAACTGTTGTAGCTGAGTGATGGCCACACCAGGTTCTTCATAGTATTCTCTTTTTATTTTTTGAAATTTTCTGACTTTTAAGAAAAAAATTAAGGAGGTGGTTACAAAACTGTTATAAATCTTTCAGTACCCATACAATTTGTTGTTGCTAAGTACCATGGAGTCGATTCCAACTCATAGTGACGCTGCTATAAATCTCTACAGGAGCAGAATGCCTCATCTTTCTCCCGTGGAACCACTGTTATTTTCAAACTGCTGACCTTGAGGTTGGCAGCCTGACTGGTAACCACTATGCTACCAGAGCTCTTTACCCATACAAAAGTACCCTCAATACTTGTGAATTTTAATATTATACCTCAATACACTTGACTTAAAAAGAAAAAAAATTGGTAAACCTTTGGAACAAAATTAATCCTTTCAGAGATGAATAAATATTTTTAGAGAACTTCAGTATCATATTATTCCAAAAGATTTTATGGCTACAGTGTATAAAAAATTTCATATTTAAGGCAAGGCACTCAAGTCTCTCAAAAGGAGAATATACTACTCATAGACAGATTAAGAACATACACACAAGACTTGACTAAAAGCTAATTCAAAAGATGAGTTTGCCATTTGTTTTATTTTGGGGGTGGGGTGGATTTAAATATAGAATGGAAAAACACTACCTACATTTAAATAGGGAGTCCTGGTGTGGCGCAGCAGGGTAATGAACTGGACCGCAAAGTCAGTTTGAACCACCAAGGTCGGCAGTTCAAACTTACCAGCTGCTCCTCGAAAACCCTATACAGGGTTGCTATGAGTCAGAACCAACTCCACGGTACTTAACAACAACAATAATTAAGCAAAAAGTACAAAAACACTTTGCTAATGTAGTTATCACAGTTTCTCTGTTAGTGCTAATCCAGTGAGTCAGAGTACTCTTGAAGGGTGAGTAGCTACATGAGTAACTAAATAGCAATCTTCCAGAGAGATTAAATAGCAGTTACCTGCAATTTCCTGTAAGCGATCTTCATCAATGTTAGGGTCAAAGTCACTTCCCAAGACATCTGTACTCCAGGTCTCACTCACTGTTTCTGATATGTCCCTATCATCTGTTAGTCCCATCATGTCACGAATTTCAAACTTCCTTAGTTTATCATCAAGATTATCTTGCGTTGTGGCTATCAAAAACAAAATTAAACACTTTTTTGAAGGTAGCATAGCACAACCACTATTGAAAATAGTACGGTGCTTCCTTAAAAAGCTAGAAATAGAAATACCACATGATCCAGCAATCCCAATCCTAGGGATGTATCCTAGAGAAATAAGAAGAGTGACATGAATAAACTTATACACACTCATGTTCATCACAGCATTACTCACAATACAAACAGATAAATGAAAAAACAAACTGTAGTATATACATACAATGAATACTATGCAATAATTAGTAACAATGATAAATCTGTGAAATATCTCACAACATAGATGAAACGGAAGGACATTATGTTGAGGAAAGTAAGTTTAATACAAAAGGACAAACATTGTAGGAGACCAGCTGCTCCTCAGAACCCTATACGGGGTCACTACAGGTCGGAACCGACTCAATGGCACATCACAACAACAACAACTATTATAAAAAGTCAAGAACAGGTTTACACAAAGAAAGAAACAGTCTTTGATGGTTATAAGTAAACAGAAGGGAGTGAAGGGAAGGAGAAAAACTAGATAGTAGACAAGTGTTAATTTTAGTCAAGAGAAAGGCAATACCTAATACGGGGGAAGTAAGCTCAACACAATTCAAAGAAAGACACTGAGAAGTATGCAGAACAAAAGACAACTTAGGTAAATGCTATAACATATATAAGGAGTCCTCCTGTGGCACTGTAGGGCAAGCACTTGACTGCAAAGTAGGTTTGAACCACCAGGTCGGCAGTTCAAACTTACCAGTCGTCCTGTGAAAACCCTATACAGGCTCAGAGCAAACCCCCTTCCAAGACTAAGACTCAAGTCCCCACGAGCAGGCATGTGGTCTGGCTGGTGACCACTTTTGTTACCGATAAGGGGAAGTGGGGTAAAAACAGCAATGAAGTTGTGAGCTAAGTCTGACCACATTCAATAGACTCCTACGAACCCGGTTGGAGATCTGGTTGGCCAGCAGTATAGCAAGACCTGGGGACTCCTGGGCCCAGAGACAGTGACATGGCCACAAAGGACTAAAGTTGAGAGTGACTCGTCCAGCTGATATGAAGTGAGAGGAGATGCACAAGAATACCCATACTTGCAGACAGTACCCACTTGACCTGGCTTCAGTGGCTGGATGATCAGAACTTGACTAGAAGAAGAACGAAGAGGGGAAAAAAAGAGTAATCTGATACAATTTGGTGAACTTTACCTATACTTATGGATATAGTAGCTCAAAAGAGGGAACAGCAAGGATCATTCCCACCGCTTTGGTACACAGGGTTGACAGGGATGAGCAACTTAAGATACTGGCTACCCAAAATGGGGGCGCTACAAAGGCAAGAAGTGCTGGCTTACAAGCTTTGAAGAGGGAGCCTAGTTCCAGAGGGTACAGGGGAAGGTAGAATCTCTACTGAGTCGTTTACAAGCTGTTGGGATAAGGCTGATAAAAGGAGATGGGGATAAGACTCTTGTGGTACAATAGTGAATAACTGTTATCAGGACTGACTGTGAGGGTCAGAAATGTAAAGGTAGATGTTTTGTAACAAAAGGAGGGAAGTGGTTGATTTTGCAGTCCAGAAGCAGAGGTCCCTAGGACCATCAAGTAAGAATGGAGTGCGGGACCCTACCCAGAGAAGCAGTGATGCCAGAGATGGAGGCAGAAATGATGACATGGAGAGATGGGAGCAGCTGAGGACTCTGATAATCAGGGAGGGAGAGGGGCTGTGTGCTGATGGCCGGGGAAGCAGGCTTGCCCTTTGGTTGTTTGATGTTTGATGTACCCTTTGGTTGTTTGAGGATGCACAGAGGGGACTGTGATCATTACAATGAAATGAAATATGATAGGATGAATGTAAAGCTGGTGTCATCCCATGCAAACTAACACATAATTCACAATAAAAACTAAAAACTAAAAATGAAAAAAAGGATAAGGTAGGGACCAAAGAAACACACAAAACAAAACAAAAAAACTCTATACAGGGTTGATATGAGTCAGAACCAACTAAACGGCACTTAGCAACACAACAATCTAGTCCTGAAACAGCAGTAGTAATTAATAATAATTTGGAAGTTGATAAATAAGATAAATATGTAAGCTAAACAGGTGAGGTAGGTCATATGAGAGTACACCTACATACATGTATGGTAGTGGGTATTTCTACACATCTATTTGCAAATGCTGTATTATACTCATGTACAGAGCAGTTACAGAAACTACTTAAACAAATAGGCTTACTGATCTGAAAGAGACTAGAAGGATCTGAGACTACTCTCCAAAAAAAAAAAACCTTATAAACTTTAAATATTTTCAGAGATCACCATCCAGCTAAATAATGTTATGTGCCATCAGGTCATTTCTGACTCACAGCAACCTTATAAAGAGGTTCCAAGGAGCAGCTGGTGAGTTTGAAACACCAATATTATAGAACCAGTTCAGTGCTGATCCTATAAGCACCACACCAGGACTCCAAGAGCTGAAGAATCTAAAGCCCCAAGAGGTATATAAACTTGTCTACAAGATCACGTAGCTAAGATGTGGAACCAGCCAAATAGGCAGGGCTGAAAAACAAGAAGCATGAAGAATAAGCTCCTCAGAACAATCAACTATTTGATACCAACAGGGCAACATCTGCTAAAGCCAAAGATACAAAAATAGGGAAAGTAGACAACAAAACTGGGTAAATCGGGAGGAACTAGGTAGAGTGCTGACATGGATTGCAACTGATGTCACAGAACAATCTGTGGAACTGGGAAATCTAATTTACTAAGATAACGTTCACCTAAAGCACAACAGAGTATTTGTTTAAAATAATTGTTGTTGTTTTTGTTAAGTGCCGTGGAGTTGGTTCCGACTCACAGTGACCCTGCACAGGGTTTCCGAGGCTGCAAATCTTTACAGGAGCAGTACACCTCATCTTTCTCTCGCAGAAAGTTTCAAACTGCCGGCCTTGAGGTTAGCAGCCCGATTTGTAACAGGAGATTCTACTCAACAAGTTCACTATGAGTAGTAACTGACTACAGAGCAATAGGAATTTTGTTGTTTTTAAATGCTGTCGAGTTGGTTCCGACCCATAGCGACCCTGTATAGGGTTTCCAAAGAGCGGCTGGTGAGCTTGAACCTCCAACCTTGTGGTTCAAACCAACTTTGCAGTTCAATGCATTAACCCATATCTCCACACCAGGACTGCAATGGAATTTTATGTACTATTTAATCCTATTCATAGTGAAAAGTAATAGTACTATAAATGTGATTTAAATTGCAGAGCAAAATTAACTTAAAGAAAAAGCAAACTTAAAATACCCACCAAAGACTAGATTTGTGCTTGAATCATTGAAACAAAACTATCTCTTCAGGTGGTCTTTTAAGCCTATTTAGAAAATAATGCATTAAAGACTCTTTCAGAGAACTGTCTATATTTGCTTAGAGGGAAGTGAATTTGGATCGATGGTAGAAGTTTGTCAAGAAAAGTGGTGTTAACTTGAAGATGTAAGCAACATCAATGAATTGTACATGTTGAAGTTGTTATTGTTGTTAAGTGCCATCGAGTCAGTTCCGACTCATAGTGACCTGCATAGGATCTCTGAAGAGCGCTTGTGAGTTTGAACCACCAATCTTGCAGCTCAAACTGACCTTGCGGTCTAGCTCATTATCCTGCAACGCCACATCAGAACTCCACGTTTAAGTGGTTTGTTTTATTGTGTATATGTTATCCAAAATACAAAATAATATATTTTCAAACAAAAAAGCCTCACCTATTTAAAAGGGAAAAAGGTAGCATAGCTATGACTTTTAATAAAGAACTGTGATAACTTCAAGTTACATATTTTATCATTAACACTGTACACTATATTCTGAAACACTGAATTTTTCCCACAGAAAAGACATATCCTTTTCTGAACTGAGATCAGCATATACATACGTACTCCCTTACGGTAGGTTAACTGAGGCCACTGATGTAATCAGTTGTCTCCCTATATCCACTGTCCTTTGCAGAATCACTTTAAAAGTCATCTCATCAACTGCTGGGCTACATTTCCCTCTCTTTGAATATGCACTGGACTTGTATCTTGCTTTGGTCAATAGGGTGGGGAAGGGAGGAAGTATGCTAATTGTGAGTCAGTACTCAAGAGAACTTGTAAAACCTTATTTTTAACTTTTTATTGTGAACTGAGTACAGATTTACAGACAAGATCATCAGTTTTACATTAAAAAATTACACCCTTTGGTGCATCTCAATGATTTTAACTCCCTCCATGCAACAAGAATGGGCGCATTCAGGGTGGTATGGCCGTAGACCTGGTCTCCAGACACCTCTCACCCCGCTGCTCCGTGGTCTGGGTTTCATTTAACACCTTCACCAGGTCTGTGCAGTGGTCGCACTTCGTTTAACCACCGCCAGATAGTTGTCTTCCAAATTTCTTGGCAGAGATGAGTGAGTGCCTCTTGTGCCACCTCACTTTCTTGAAAGATTTCAATTTTTATTCCATCAATTCCTGGTGCCTTG